CAACTTCATTTCTTTATGGCCCGAGAAGCCTCATGGTATGATTCTAATTCTTTTGAATTTGCTGAGACTTGCTTTATGGCCTAGTATGTGGTCAATCCTAGAGAAGGTTCCATGTACTGCTGAGAGAAATGTAAATGCTTTCTGTGTAGGATGAAAAGTTCTGTAGATATCTATTAGATCCATTTGGGCTTTAGTGTCATTTAAATCTATTGTGTCCTTGTTGATCTTCTGTCCTGTTGATGTGTCTATTTCTGAGATTGGGGTATTGAAGTCCCCCAGTACTATTGTATTGGGGTCTAAGTCTCCCCTTAAATCCCTTAAGAAATCTTTGAAATAAACCAGTGCCCTGTAATTAGGTGCATATACATTGATAATCATTATATCTTCCTGTTGAATTGATCCCTTAATCATTATATAGTGCCCCTCTTTGTCTCTCCTAACAGTTTTTGTGGTAAAGTTTATGTTGTTCGATATTAAGATGGCTATGCCCACTCTTTTTTCATTTCTGTTGGCATGGTATATCTTTTTCCAGCCTTTCACTTTCAGTCTGTATGGATCTTTATTGGAAAGATGTGTTTCTTGTAAGCAGCAAATAGATGGGTTTTGTTCCTTTACCCAATCAGCCACTTGGTGTCTTTTAACTAGACAGTTCAGTCCATTAACGTTAATGTGACTATTGATAAGTAGTAGCTTTGCCCTGCCAATTGCCAAAGATATTTTCTGATATATGTTTTGAACTTCCTGTGATCATTTGGTGTGAGATTTCCTTCATTTACCTTCTTTCAAATTGATGACCATGTTTCTGTGTTTCTGTGTGTAACACGTCTTTAAGCATCTTTTGCAGGGCTGGACGAGTGGCCACAAAGTCTTTCAATTTCTCTTTATTGTGTAAGGTCTTTATTTCACCTTCATTCACAAATGAGAGCTTACCAGGATATAATATTCATGGCTGGCACTTTTCCTCTCTTAGTACCTGGGCTATATCTTGCCATTCCCTCCTAGCTTGAAGGGTTTCTGATGAGAAGTCAGCTGTGAGTCTGATTGGAGATCCTCTGAGAGTAATCTGACATTTCTCTCTTGCACATTTTAGGATCTTTTCTTTCTGTTTCACTGTGGTGAGTTTGATTACAACGTGTCGTGGTGAGGATCTCTTTTGGTCACGTTTATTAGGGGTTCTGTGAGCTTTCTGTACTAGGATGTCTCTGTCCTTCTCCAAACCTGGGAAATTTTCTGCTAATATCTCACTAAAAAGGCCTTCTAATCCTTTCTCCCTCTCCATGCCTTCAGGAACTCCTAGAACCTGAATGTTGGGTTTTTGAATAGTATCCTGAAAATTCCCGACAATATTTTTTAGATTTCTACTTTCCTCTCCTTTTCTTTGGTTTGACTGTGTATTTTCCTGTGCTCTTTTTCTAAGTCTGATATTCTCTCTTCTGTTTCACCCATTCTGTTTTTGAGGCTCTACTAGTTTTTTCATTTCATTTTGATTCCTCCTTAATATTTCATTTTCATGAGAGAGATTTTCTATCTTGTCCATTAAGGATTTCTGTAGTTCGTGAATTTGTTTTTGAGAACTTCTTAATGTTCTTATCAATTTTTTGAGATCCCCTCTTGCATTTCTTCTATCTCATCATCTTCATAATCTTGAATTGGGGTGTCTATTTCATTTGGGGTTGTCATAGTGTCTTCCTTGTTTTTGTTACCTCGGCTTTTGCCTTTGTCATATTGGAGATATTCTTTTTTTTTTTCTCTATATACTGTGACTCTAGATTAAGAGGACTGTCTGCTTTTGATGGTCCTTAGAGGCTGTGAAGGGTGTGGCCACAGAGCTCTGGTTCTACAGGGTTAAGGGTGTGCCAAAGGTGATTCACCCTGATTGTTCTCTTGCCCTCTCTCTCTCTCTCTTTTGACTCAGTTGGGAAGTAATTCCACACAGCTGAGTGGAATTGAGAGTAGTTGATGTATGAAATGTGGCCCCTGTGGCTATTCATTTGCTTACCAGAGTCAGGTTTTTCTGCTTGGCTAATGAGGCGCACCCACTTTGCATATGCAAAATAGTACGCACCACTTTACTTTCGTAAAATGGCGCCTGCCCTTTGTCTTGCTCGGCTTTGTAAGGTGAGTGGAGAGAGAGGCTAAATGTCCATGCCAGTTCCCCTTATTTATTTGATTTTTTCTCTCCTCCAGCCATCCTGGTGAACTTTCCCCAATGGGGATTCAGGCCTCGTTCTCTGCAGGGTCTTTCTGGCTTTCCCCACCAATGTCTCAGGTTACCGAGAGGTTTTTTTTTCTCACCTCCCCTTCCCGTGCTGGCATGAAGACTCTGCAGCTTCGGCAGGTTCGGCGGGTTCAGCGGGTCCGGCGGGTCTGGTGGCTCCAGCAGCTCCTGTAGCTTGGCTTCCATGCAGTGGGCGACCTTGCTCTCCCTGTAGGTCCTCAGAGTCACAGCCACTAGATCTGGAAGAGTTCCCTCTGCAGTTTTTCCCTGATCCTTTTCCTGAGGCTACCGTAACTCCACTTTTATTAAACTATCTTTTCCCGGACTATCGGTGTGCGCCCTCACTATTCCGCCATCTTGCAGTCTTATTTCTGTGCATTCCTTTTAATACTGTATCTTTAATATTATATGTGAGACTAAGGATGTCTAATTAAAACCACAACACTTTCTCTCAGGTCTATGGAATTTATTAAGAGAAATGTTCCAAGTGATATATGATTACCACAACCTAATTAAGCACACAATTTAGTATCCCTATAAAAACTTTTGAACAAGACAAGAAATTACCTTTCAAAATTATGAATCAAAATGCATGTACTGAGAAGTATAAAAATATACTAGGTCTCAATAAGAACTATTTCCATTGTTCACAATATTAAGAGATAGACCTTGGAGTCATTTGATTCAATTATGTTATCAGTAGCAACCATTTGGTTTCAATCTTTCCCAAGAGGAAATTTATATTGTTAGTCATTAGAAAGGTAAAGAAACAATGACTTAACTTATCCATAATGGGTTTGGGAATACCCACTAATGTATAAAAAAATATGAAAAATGAGTGAACATACACTTGAAGCCCATTGTGCAGCAGCATTTGCTTGTGTGCCCTCAGAATGTCTCTGAGATCACACCTGTTGAATATATGAAGAATGAGTATCTCCAGATAAAAATTGCCAGGGAGAATTATTTTAAAATGTTTCTGAATATTTTATGATTGAATGAGTACCACCTGCAAAAATTATATAATACCTTTATGATAAAGGTAGCCAAATCAATACCATTTTCTGTATTTAACTGAAATGTCATTGAAGCAGAGAAATACCCATTCATTGACCTCTATTTAGGACTTCTTTCTTGTGTAATGGCACAAGAGTTTTTTCATGAGGGACAATGTGGTGTGCAGAGCTCAAAGTATTCCATTCCTTCCATGAGGCAGAAGGGTAATAAGCCCTTATTTCAGGTGAAATTGGAAAGTTTCAAAAACCTAATTTCTCCTTGAAAATTTTGTTGAAAATATCAGTTATACCCAAATGACTTATAATAAAGTCAAACTCCTCCATAAAATCCAAATGTTTTTGATTTGATAAAATATATTTCAACCTTTGCATTGAATAACTGACAAAAATTGTCCCAGAGTTATGAAAATATAAAACAAGGAGAGACTTTTTTTTTTTACCAGATATCAAACAGTATACAATGAAGAAATGCTAGATATTGATTGTTGTAAGTATTTCATAGGCATTTTGCATTTTTATTTCTCTGCAAGAGAAGGTAAGCTCTAAAGTTGATTATCCTAGGCAAATGTTCTAAGCCATGATGATGCAGGATTGAGCATGAGAAAGACTGGAGACAGCAGGGTGAGGAATTCAGAAGAATGCAAATGGACATCACTGTGCCACAGGATGAGCCACCCTAACCACTCATTTGCTAAAGATGCCATTTGAAATAGTTTGTTCCCATTTGTAGATGAGAATTCTCCCTGGGTCCGGAATGTAGAAACTTGCTCTGGTGTGGCCTCATATTTTTAAGAAAACTTTTATTTAATAAATACAAATTTTGAAAGTACAATTTTTGGATTATAGCGGTTTCCCCCCCATAACTACCACCCCATGCACAAACAATCCCATCTCCTACTCTTCCATCCCATTCTTCATTGATTCATTTTTAATTATCTTTATATGCAGAAGATCAGTTTAGTATAAACTAACTAAAGATTTCAACAGATTGCACCCACACAGACATACAAATTATAAAGTACTGTTTGAAGACTAATTTTACCATTAATTATCATAGTACAACACATTAGGACAGAGATCCTACGTGGGGAGTAAGTGCACAGTGACTCCTGTTGTTGATTTAATAATTGACACTCTTATTTATAATGTCAGTGATCAACTGAGGCTCTTGTCATGAGCAGCCAAGGCTATGGAAGCCTCTTGAGTTCACAAACTCCGACCTTATTTAGACAAGGTCATAGTCATAATGGAAATGCCTCCCTTCAGAGAAAGATACCTCCTTTGATGGCCTGTTCTTTCTGCTGGGATCTCACTCACAGAGATATTTCATTTAGGTCATTTTTTTTACCACAGTGTCTTGGCTTTCGATGCCTGAGAAACTCTCATGGGCTTTTTATTCAGATTGGAATGCCTTAAGGAATGAATCTGAGGCCAGAGTGCTTTTTATGGCATTTGCCATTCTATGAGTCTGCTGTGTATCCCACTTCTAATGTTGGATCATTCTCTCCTGTTTAATTCTATCAATTATTATTAGCAGACAATGGTCTTATTTATGTGTTCCCTTTGATATTTAATCCTATCTTTATGATCAATTTTGAAGTTAAACTGATCACTTTAACTGGTAAGATGGCATGGTTATCTGGGTGTGGCCTCATATTACATCAGAGTATTTTATACTCAAAATGGCATTGCAAAGTAACCATTTTTCCCAACAGGGAAAATTTCAGAATTTCAGCAATGGAAACTCAGCCTTTCTTCTTCCACAGATGCAGAACAGTGTATCCAGTGTGCAGAGCATGAGTATCCGAACATGGAGAGAAGTCACTGCCTCCCCAAGCTAATGACCTTCTTAGCCTTTGAGGATGCCCTGGGGATGGCTCTGGTTTGCATGGCTCTGTGCTTCTCTGTAACCACAGCTGCAGTTTTGGGAGTCTTTGTGAAGCACCGAGACACTCCCATCGTCAAGGCCAATAACCGGTCTCTCAGCTACATCCTGCTCATCGCCCTCCTCCTGTGCTTCCTGTGCTCCTTACTCTTCATTGGCCGTCCCAACACAGCCACCTGCCTCCTCCGACAAATAACATTTGGTCTTGTGTTCACAGTGGCTATTTCTGCTGTGCTGGCCAAGACCATCACTGTGATTCTGGCTTTCAAGGTTATGAAACCTGGAAGAACAATGAGGCGATTGCTTGTATCCGGAGCTTCTAACTTCATCATTCCCATCTGTTCCTTGATCCAACTAGCTCTATGTGGCATCTGGTTGGGAATCTCTCCTCCATTTATTGAGTTAGATGCATATGCTGAGCCTGACCACATCATCCTGGTGTGCAACAAGGGCTCAGTCACTGCCTTCTACTGTGTCCTGGGCTACCTGGGTTCCTTGGCCCTAGCGAGCTTCACTGTAGCTTTCCTAGCCAGGAATCTACCTGACACTTTCAATGAAGCCAAGTTCCTGACGTTCAGCATGCTGGTGTTCTGCAGTGTCTGGGTGACCTTCCTGCCTGTCTACCACAGCACCAAGGGGAAGGTCATGGTGGCCGTGGAGGTCTTCTCCATCTTGGCCTCCAGTGCGGGACTCCTGGGGTGCATTTTTGCCCCCAAGTGCTACATTATTCTTATAAGGCCTGAAAAGAATTCTCTGAAAGGCTTAAAGAAAAGAGCAAGTTCTAAGGGATTCTAATATTTTTCTGCTTTTTTTGTTGTCACATTTTCAGAGTTTGGTGCCAAAACCAAACTGATATAACATTCCATATATATAAAATAACTAAAATCAACTTTTCCTTTGAAAATGACTTCTAGGTAAGACACTTAGCCTAGCAGATTACATGGGATCAGTTTCTGGCTCTGACACCTGGCCTGTACTTTTGACTCTTGGGGACCCTGGAAGGAAGTGGTGATGGATTATGGAACTTGGTTCTGTCCACGCATATGAGAATCCTGGTTTGACTCCCCATTTTGGGTCTAGCCACAGCCTAAGTATAGGCATTTGGGGTGTAGAAGCATGAGGTATAGAATGAGAGGTGTCTATGCCTCAGTAGTCACTAATGTTCTGGCAGCCAATATCATACTGAATGGAGGGAAGCTGAAAGCATTTCCCCTCAGATCTTGAACACAATAGGCATGTCTACTTTCAACATTCTTATTCAGTACACAACTTGAAGTGTTGGCAGGAGCAATTAGGGAGGAGGAAGAAGTAAAGGGCATCAAAATTGGAAAGGAGGGGGCCAGCACTGTGGCATAGCAGGTAAAGCCACCCCCTGCAGTACTGGCATTCCCATATGGCACTGGTTTGAGATCTGGCTGCTCCTCTTTCTATCCAGCTCTCTGCTATCGCCTGGGAAAGCAGTGGAAGATGGCCTAAGTTGTTGGGCCCTTGCACCCATGTGGGAGACTTGGAAGAATCTCCTGGCTCCTGGCTTCAGATTGGTGTAGCTCTGGTCATTGATGCCATTTGGGGAGTGAACCAGCGGGTGGAAGATCTTTCTCTTTCTGACTCTCCTTCTTTCTTTGTGTGACTCTGACTTTAAAATAAATAAATAAATCTTGGGGCCGGTGCTGTGGCTCAGTAGGTTAACACACTGGCCTGAAGTGCTAGCATCCCATATGGGCACCTGTTTGAGTCCCAGCTATTCTACTCCCTATCCAGCTCTCTGCTATGGACTGAAAAAGCAGAAGTCCTTGGGCCCCTGCACCCACATGGGAGACCCAGAAGAAGATCCTGGCTCCTGGCTTTATATAGACACAACTCTGGCCATTGTGGCCAACTGGGGCGTGAACCATCGAGTGGAAGACCCCCTCACCCCCACCCCTCCTCTCTCTGTGTAACTCTAACTTTCAAATAAATTAAATACATCTTTAAAATGAATGAATGAATGAATGAATCTTTAAAAAAATTGGAAAGGAGGAGGTCAAACCATGTGTTTGCAAATGACATGGCATTGTACATGGAAAATCCTAAATACTCCACCAGAAAGCTGTAGAACTGATAAACCAATTCAGTAAAGTTGCAGGTTACAAATAAACACCAAAAAGCCCATGGGCTCTTTAACACCCTAATGATGAACTCATCGATAAAGAAATCAAGAAAGAAATCTCATTCATAATATCCACAAAACAATCCAATACTTTGGAATAAATTTAACCAAAGAAATGCAAGATCTCTACAATGAAAGTTATGAAACATTGATGAAAGAAATCATCAAGGACACAAAAATATAGAAAGATATTCCTTGTTCATGAAATCAGTATCTTTAAAATATCTATAGTAACTAAATAAATCTACACATTCTGTACAAAACCTGCCAAAGTACTAAGGGTATTCTTCAGGTAGAAAGGGCAATCTTAAAATTCATATGGAATCACAAAAGATCCAGAATAGCCAAAATGATCTTGAGGAAAAAAAAATCAAGTTGGAGGCTTCACAATACTTGATTTCAAAGCATATTACAAAGATACAGTACAGCACACTAAGGACAGAGATCCTACATGAGGAGTAAGTGCACTAGTGACTCTTGTTGTTGACTTAACAAATTGACACTCTTGTTTATGACATCAGTGATCACCCTAGGCTCTTGTCATAAGCTGCCAAGGCTATGGAAGCCCCCTGAGTTCACCGACTCTGATCATATTTAGACAAGGCCATGGTCAAAGTGGAAGTTCTCTCTTCCCTTCATAGAAAGGTACCTCCTTCTTTGATGACCCATTCTTTGCACTGGGATCTCACTTGTAGAGATCTTTCATTTAGTTTTTTTTTTCCCCAGAGTGTCTTGGCTTTCCATGCCTGTAATACTCTCATGGGCTTTTCAGCTGGATCCGCATGCCTTAAGGACTGATTCGGAGGCCAGAGTGACTGATCTTCTGTATATAAAGAGAATCGAAATGAATGTTGATGTGAATGCAAGGCGAGAGGGAGTGGGAAAGGGGAGGGTTGTGGGTGGGAGGGACGTTATGGGGGGAAGCCATTTTAATCCGTAAGCTGTACTTTAGAAATTTATATTCATTAAATAAAAGTTAACAAAAAACAAAGATATAGTAATGAAAACATCGTGGTACTAGCATGAAAACTGACACATAGATAACTAGAGCAAATTAGAGGGCCTAGAAATTAATCAATGAATATATTACAAATGTATTTTTGACATAAGTATTCAAACCACACATTGTTGAAAGGATAATCTATTCAAGAAATGGTGCTGGCAAAATTGGATGTATATATGCAGAAGAATGAACCAGGTTCCTTACCTCTCACCATATGCAAAAATCAACTCAAGATGGATCAAAGATCCAAGTTGAAGACCTGAGAGTATACAGTTGCTGGAAGAAAATTGGGGTAAGCATCTTGAGACACTGGGTTAGGTGATGACTTTTTGGATAAAAACCCCTAAATCATAGGAAACAAAAGAAGAACTAGAGAAATGGGTTTGCTATAAACTCAGAAGCTTCATTGCAGCAAAGGATACAATCAATAGAGTGAAGAGACATTCAACAGAATGGGAAAATATATGTTAATTTTACTTACAAGTTTCATGTGTTTCATGTATACAGATTTAGGAACATAGTGATACTTCTCCTTGTACCCTCCTTCATGCCCACACTCCAACACTGCTTCTTCCTACCTCTCCCATTCCTACTTTTAATTTTTACAAATATCTATTTTCAATGTACTTGGTGATCATATAGTTAACCCTACACTCAGTAAAAGCGTTCAACAAATTGTGTGAAACAATAACCACTCTTCTGCAACAGAAGAGACAAAGACTGTAAACGATCATTGAACCTCAAAATGTCCATTTTACCCCAATACATTATATTTCAGGTACTGTGTTAGTTACCTTGGGTCAGAGAAAATATGATATCTGTCTTTTTGGGACTGGCTTATTTCACTAAGTATAATGTTTTCCAGTTGCATCCATCTTGTTGCAAAAGACAGGATTTCCTTTTTTTTTAACAGCTGAGTAGTACTCCATAGTGTATATATTCTATAATTTCTTTATCCAGTCAACAGTTGATGGACACATAGCTTGTTTCCGTATCTTATCTATTGAGAATAGTGATGCAATGAACATGAGGGTATAGATAACTCCTTCAGGTGCTGATTTCTTTTGGTTTGGGTAAATTCCCAGGAGTGGGATGGCTGGATCATATCTAGGTCTATATTCAGATGTCTGAGGTATCTCTCTTGTTTTCCACAATGGCTGCACCAATTTACATGCCCACTGACAGTGGATTAGGGAACCCTTTCCACCACATCCTTGCCAGCATTTGTTGTTTGTTGATTTCTGTAAGAGAGCCATTCTAACTGGAGTGAGGTGAAACCTCATTGTGGTTTTGATTTGCATTTCCCTGATGGCTAGTGATCCTGAACATTTTTTCATGTGTCTGCTGGCCATTTGGATTTCCTCTTTTGAAAAATGCCTATTCAAGTCCTTTCCCCATTTCTTTCTTAATAGGATTGTATTTTTTGTTGTTGTTGGATGTTAAGCTCTTTTTAGATTCTGCATGTTAACCCTTTATCAGTGGCATAGGTTTGCAAATACTTTTTCATCTGTCGATTGCCGCTCCATTTTGCTGCGTGTTTCTTTTGTGGTGCAGTAGCTTTTCAGCTTGATGTAACCCCATTTGTCCATCTTGGCTTTGATTGCCTGTGTTTCTGAAGTCTATTCAAAAGTCTCTGCCTATGCCAAAGTCTTGTAGAGTTTCCCTAATATTATCTAGTAATTTGATGGTATTGGGTCATAGATATAGGTCTTTGATCCATTTTGAGTGGATTTTTTTGTAACTTGTATGGTATGGGTCTAGTTTTATACTTCTGCAAGTGGAGATCCAGTTTCCCCAGCACCATTTGTTGAAGAGTCTGAGCTTGCTCCAGGGATTGATTTTAGCTCCTTTGTCAAAGATACATAGTTTGTAGATGCGTGGATTGATTTCTAGGGTTTCTGTTTTGTTCCATTGGTCTACATGTCTGTTTTTGTGCCAGTACCAGGCTGTTTTAAAGATTTATTGGAAAGACAAAGTTATGAGAGAGGTAGAGACTGAGCGAGAGGTTTCCATCTGCTGGTTCACTCCCTAGATGGCCACAGTAGCTGCAGTTGTGCTGATCTGAAGCCAGGAGCCAGGAGCTTCTTCCAGGTCTCCCACATGGGTGCAGGGGCCCAACAAGTTGGGCCATCTTCTACTGATTTCTCAGGCCATAGCAGAGAGCTAGATTGGAAGAGGAGCAGCCAGGACTAGAACCAGCACCCATGTAGGATGGCAGTGCTACAGGCTAGGGCTTTAACCCGCTGTGGCACAGCTCCAGCCCAATACCAGGGTGTTTTGATTATAAATCCCCTGTGTTAATTCTTGAAATCTGGTATTGCAATGTCTTGTGCTTTGTTTTTGTTGTATAGGTTTGCTTTAGCTATTTGGGGTATCTTGTGTTTCCATATAACTTTTAACAGCATTTCTTTTCTAGATCTGAGAAGAATGTCATTGTTATTTTGATTGGGATCACATTGAACCTGTAAATTGCTTTCAGTAGTGTGGAAATTTTGAAGATATTGATTCTTCCAATCCATGAACATGGGAGAATTTTCCATTTTTAAGGTTTTCTACTCTTTTTTTAAATGTTTTATAATTTTTATCATAGAGATCTTTGGCCTCCTTGGTTAAATTTATTCCAAGGTATCTATTTTTTTGTAGCTATTGTGAATTGAATTGATCTTAAAGTTCTTTCTCGGCTGGTGCCACGGCTCAATAGGCTAATCATCCACCTGCGGCACCGGCAACCCGGGTTCCAGTCCTGGTTGGTTGGGGCGCCAGACTCTGTCCCTTTTGCTCCTCTTCCAGTCCAGCTCTCTGCTGTGGCCCAGGAGTGCAGTGGAGGATGGCCCAAGTGCTTGCACCCTGCACCCACGTGGGAGACCAGGAGAGGTACCCGGCTCCTGGCTTTGGATCAGTGTGGTGTGCCGGCCACAGCATGCCGGCCGCAGTGAACCAACAGAAAAAGGAACTCTGTGTATCTCTCTCACGTCCATGCTGCCTGTCCAAAAAAAAAAAAAAAAAGTTCTTTCTCAGCCATGGCATTGTCTGTGTTTACAAAGGCTATTGATTTTTGTGTATTGATTTTTTTCTTTTTTTAAGATTTATTTATTTATTTATTTATTTGACAGGCAGAGTGGACAGTGAGAGAGAGAGACAGGGAGAAAGGTCTTCCTTTGCCATTGGTTAACCCTCCAATGGCTGCCCTGTCCAGTGCCCTGCGGCCAGCGCACCACGCTGATCCGATGGCAGGAGCCAGGTACTTATCCTGGTATCCCATAGGGTGCAGGGTCCAAGTACTTGAGCCATCCTCCACTGCACTTCTCTGGCCACAGGAGAGAGCTGGCCTGGAAGAGGGCAACCAGGACCAAATCCGGCACCCCGACTAGGACTAGAACCTGGTGTGCCAGTGCCGCAAGGCAGAGGATTAGCCTAGTGAGCCGCAGCGCCGGCTAAGATTTATTTATTTATATGAAAGAGTTACATAGAGAAGAAGCGAAGGAGGAGGAGGGAGGAGGGAGGGGGAAGGAGGGGAAGAGGAAGGGGAAGTAGAAGTCTCCTACACGGGTCCAGGGACCCAAATTCTTGTGCCATTTTCCACTGCTTTCCTAGGCCATAGCAGAGAGTTAGATCAGAAGTGGAGCCGCTGGGTCTTGAACTAGTGCCCATATGGGATTCTGGCACTGTAGGCAGTGACTTAACCCACTATTCACAGCGCCAGCCCCTGTGTGTTGATTTTCTATCCTGCCACTTTACCAAAGTCTTTTATGAGGTCCAATAGTCTCTCAGTGTC